ATTAAATAAGCTTATGCTTCTTCCTGCTCCTTTTTGAACATGAACTTTATTTGGAGTTGTGGTTGCTCGTTTTCCTTTTGTTTTGCTTTGTTCATTTGTCTCTTTTAATTCTATTTTGTTGTACTTTTTCAACATGTTCAAAATAAAGATTCAATCAATCAATCAAAGTAACCTCCCTAAACGCATCCTAGGAATGACAGTTTACACCCAAATTTAGCTTGAATAACTTCACCTGTTTTCCAATTTCCAAAACTGTCCTCGGACCCAGAGCAGAGACACATGTGCTTCTTGGAAAAAGGTTACTGTAAAGCTCTGTGTGACTTCCTCTTTGAGCAGTTCATTCAGAACAGCTTTGGCCCCAGACCTCCCTGCACCAAATACAACCAAGAAGTCATTGATTTGTGCCAACCAGCCATGCAGAAAAGAAGTGAAGAGCACTCATCACCAAAGCGCTGTTTCTTCCTTCCTTCCTTCCTCTGCTGCCTATTTCTTTACAAAAAAGAAAAAAAAAACATTCCACTTCTTTCACATCCACTTCTTGTCATATTTGAGGCACGGCCTTCTCTCCTTGTCCTTCACGCTTGTATTAACAAGCTGACAACTGATTTCCGCAGGTCACGCCTCCCCCCCCATCATCCGCTCGTCCTTCTATCTGATTTTCTTTCCTCCTCTCATCTGCTCAACCACAGAACAAACCAATGGCCTCTGCTCTTTCTGTTATTATCGATGTCTTTTGTACAACACACTCACACAGTTGATGCGGGGGTCAATTTTCACTCCATTGTGACAATGATGCCACAGCCGTCACTGTCAACGCGCACTTCTTTTATGCAGCTGATATAAGAGCCGGTCGATAAGAAAAGGATTTCCACTTTTTGAACGGTACAGTTAATTGATTGAATTGTTCACAACCGTGATTCCCACGCACACACACACATACGCAGAAGTTGCACTTCACATTTCAAAGCAGACAGATGAAAAAAGGGACAAAATCTAAAATCGCTTTAGAGGAAATCACTGTGTTAAATAAAAAGCCTTCTTAAAAGAGGGGCTCTTCCTCTTTGAGATTGAGTGTGTGTGTTTGTGTGTCTATGTGTAACTATGAGGGGTGAAAAGCTGTTTAAAGAGAGACCTTTCTCTAGGAGCTGAAGGCAGGCATAAGGCAGCTATGCACAGCTCTGGAGAGGCTGTATCATTTGAAGGCACACACAGACATACAAAAACAAACACACATACACTATAAATGTAAAACACACTTACACACATTTTTTTCCACCACATATTCAGAACAAATCTACCAACTAGTAGCATGAAGCACATACATCTGAGCCCACACAAGGACAAGAGCACAAAACACACACACACAGCACAGACATGCAAATTAACCCCCTCCGCCATGGTAGGAAGAGAAAACAAAAGCGAATGGAGCAACGAAAACAATTAGCCCAATCAAGGGTGACAGAAGGCAATTAGGAGGAAAAGGTTTGAGGTGCCAAAAGCCACTCTATTATTGAGAGAAATGTGCTGGTGAAGTGTGCCGCTGAATAGTCGGAAGAAATATGACTGGCTGTCTTAAAGGTGTGCAAGGCTCGAAGCGCATCCACGAACCTTCTGAAATGAGGGGGCTCCGTTTGGGGCTTTCAGATGAGCGACGGTGACAAAAGATGTCATCAAGAAACATCAAGACGAAATGAGCGGCTGCTGGGAGAAGCACGCTTGACAGCCAGGTTCCTCGGGAATCATTATGCATTCTTCAGATTGTAAAGAGGAAGGTGTTGACTGGTATTTTAAACATTTACTCTAAACAAGTGGTGGAAACAAGTAACAGGTGCAAATGCTTCTCAAAATCTTCCACCAAAGACTTTTTTGAGTCTAATTGCAAAGCAAAGGCCTCACCGTAAAACCACAGCGATGCGCTACATTGCCTTGAAGCCATGAAGTGGTAGGCTATGTAAAGTTACAGCTCAGTGTCAGCAAATGCTGAGGCAAATAGTGCGCAAAGGTCGCCGACTTTCTGCACAGTCAGTTGCTACTGATCTACAAAACTCATGTGACCTTCAGATTTGCTGAAGACCAGCGCAGAGAGAGCTTCATGGAGTGGAGTGTAATCCAAGCCTTACAGAACCAAGCGCAATGCAAAGCATCAGATGCAGTGGTGTAAACCACACCGCCACTGGACTATAGAGCAGTGGAGACGTTCTCTGGATGGACATCACGCTTCTTCATCTGGTAATCCAATGGAAGAGTCTGGGTTTGGCAGTTGTCTGACTGCAATGTGCAAAGTACAAAGTTTGGTGGAGGAAGTATCACAGTGTGGGGCTGTTTTTCAGGAGTTCGGCTTGCCTTCTTAACGCTTTACCATACCACGACATTTTGAACAATTTCATCCTCCCAACATTGTGGGAACAATTCTGTGAAGCCAACAATGCCTAAAAGCGAATGTAGAAAAGGTTACACTTCCAGGGCTGTATTAAAAATTCATTAACATGCTGGCTGCAATTTTAAGATTGCACAAAGAAACCAATCAGTATCTGACTGTATGTGACCACCTCTGTGTCTTTCTCTCAGTGTCTCACCTCAGGGATCCATAAGGCACAGCTGACGTGGACCCACTTGGTTCCACTGCGGGTGGGCTTGAGTGCCCCCCCTCTCTTGGGGCAGAGCAGACATTTTGGCTGGACCCCGAGAGCGCAGGTCCGACACAGCCAGTTCCCCTGGGGTACCTTCAGGATGCCGTAACACGCCTGCAACAGGGAAAGAAATAAAAAAGGAAAGTTATGACAGGTCTTAATGCGAAAGCTGCATAACGATGGTTCTGAATTTACATAGGTTACCAACCATGACGTAACATGCAAGCCAATTTATTCTGGCTAACCAATTCTTCTAAGTCTTTGTGCCAAGCTAACCAGCCAATAGCTGTAACTTTTTATGCAGTGGACAGATTACTAGCCTTGCTAATAAGAGAATGGAAAACTATGTCAAATCACCATAAATAAAAAGTTCATTAAAGACCTATTTGTACACTGAAGCACATTAACATACACCCCATGTAAACCATTAGGTGTATATTAAAAGTTGTATTCCATATACTCTGTGTTGGCAAAAAGATGACTGACAGTCAGCTTTTCAAGCCAACCTAAAAACAGTGAATTTTGTTTTGTTTTTGTTGTGATTGAGCACATAAGTGGTGCCGCAGCTGATCCGGTTCACAATCCATTAAGTTTTCTTGTTGTCGGTTGCACAAACTAATGAGAATTACAAGCCGCTGAAAAGTTAAGAACGCTCTCAAGCAGTTATATGGTGGACACATTCATCTCGACATGACTGCTGCAATACAATCACTCGGCCATAAAAAGCATGAAAATGTGTGAACGCATCAGGATGTCACAGCACTGACCATATTACTGATGTCAGCATAATGGTTAATGGACTGGTACTTATAGAGCACTTTTCTATTCCTTTTTACTACAAGCTTCATTCACTCATTCACACAAGTGCCTGTTCCTATGCCTAAGCCCTTTTAATCTAACATCACACACCAACGGACAAATCGGAGGGCTTTTAGTTTGAGCACAGTTTGGGTGGAGACCAATAAGGTCATCAGGGTGCGAAGTAGCAACAATAAAATCATTAGGAAAGACTAAAAACCTAAATAACTTGCTTTAAATGGGGAATGGCCTTCCTGTGTTAATGACGTACTTGCTTGCAACAGTAACCGTAGAAGACATTGGGCGATTCCCAACAGGAATCTTGGCATAACTTTCACCAGCTACACCCTGAAGCCTGCGAGTCGTCTTGCTTTTTAAGTCAAAATCCCCAACATACATTTGGTTTCAATGCAACAACTTCTGTATTCTCATATAGGTTTTATTAACTGCAAGGTTTTATCCACTGCTGCTCCAATTACAAATCTCCATTTAATATTTCTTTATTTTAGTAAAAACAGCATGAGCTTCCAACACATCTGAAATGCCACATAGACTTTATTTTGTTTTTTAAAGCACAGCTGGGTTTTGTATGATCAGAGCTCCACCCAATTCCCCTTCCGCTATCACAGAGGGGTGCCATGGAAGTCTTTCATGCCAGCGTAACAGCATGCTTATATGTTTCTGATAAGATCCGGTCCCCAGGGTTAGAAACAAAGTGTTATTTTATTGTCAGACATTATTTACTCCTTCATTGTTAGAAAGGGTCTACTGTGGCAAGCGAAGCATACGTAATGCCTCTTTTTCTACCATTATCCCTATCACCTCAGATCTATCATATCAAAGCATTACTCCTTTAGTTGAGCCTCAAATGAAATTTAGACGCCCCAAATCCCAGACCATCACGAGGGAAGGACACATCATATTTCATATAACTAAAAAGGCAGAACACACATTCATATTAGACTTAGAGGATGATAAAACAACAGAGACAGAGAGAAAAAACAAACAACCTTCAAGGAAATGAAACACGAAAGTCTCAGTCTTTGTTAAAAGCAATTAAGGGACTCTATTGATGAAATGATTTTATTGATCAAACAAAGCACCTCAGCAAGCATGACCCGTGTTTCACCTACCGAGCGTTGGGTTCACTTCACCAGGGAAGGAACAGACGATGCTGGTTAGTGATATTTTAGTGTGGTTACACACTAAAAGCAATATTACTTAATACTGCTGGGAGCAACCTTTTCTTTCACCGCCTGCTATAATTTGTTTCCATGACACCTCAACTTTTGGCTCGTACCTATTTTTACTCAACAAATACTACTAGGAAAACACCAGAGACTCCTAAGAGTAATGTTTTGATGACTTGATCCAAAAGTTATTTATGCCCCGCGTTCTTGAAATATGTGCATGAGGGCACACATGCAAGGAAGAGGTGATGAAATATACGCTTATGCCAAAAACCTGCCCCCCTCCCCTCACCCCCAACCGGTTGCAGAAGATGGCAGCAACTCCCTGAGCCTGGTTGTGCTGGAGGTTTCTTCCTGTTAAGTTTTTCCTTCCTAGCGTCCTTACCTTTCAGTCTAAGCACCTCGAGCCAACTGCTGTTATTTGGTGCAATATAAATAAAATGGAATTGAAAAAAAAAAAGAAAAGAATTGGACTTGAATGGAAATAGCGTGCTTTCAAACATGCTAAGGTGAGAAGCTGTGCTTCTTTATGAACAGTAAGAGCAGCCACGCAAAGCTGTTATGAAATGGAGTAAAAATGCGTTATATTTAAGATGATTCATATTTCCTCCTGTTTCACAGTCTGGCTTTTGATTTCATATGCAGAAAAAAATTCTTTATAGTTCTGAAAAATGAGAGGAGACTTAACCTCCAGATTCTGATTGCTAACTTTTGTCTGATAGTGGGAAACCGAGCAGGTTTTGTTTGAAATATCAAAAGCACTGAGCTCAGGATGTTTTTCCTAAACTTGAATACTCATTATAAAATCCTCATGCAACTTAAAGGAAACATTTTTTTTTTAACTTGGATTTTCTTTCGATTTTAAATAAAATTCAGCTGAGGTGGAGGCGGAGGTGGACACAAGGTCGTCTGGTTGGGAGTAAAGCCCAGACTTGAGGCTGTTTTCGACATTGAAGCGCGGCTCGCAAGGTCAACTGCCAGTCCCGGGCGGCCGCAGCCTCCACCACAGGCGGTCTGCTGTTGCAAACGAGAGGCTAAGGTGGGTTTCTGAGGTTTACCTACGGAAACTTTGTCAGGAATTTCAAATCTTTGAATTATCTTGGCTCAGACTGAACTTTGCAGAGCTTTAAGTTGGGGGTCACGACACACAGCTGTCAAATAAAAGGTGAGAGTTGAATTTGTAACGCAAGAAAAAAAAGAAAGGCAGTTAGTGCAACACAGTAACTGTTTTAACACGATTATCTTGTTTTCATTACCATCGGAGGCCACAAACCATAACTGAAAATAACACTGAATTAGTCGCCCAGGACTCGTTTATTAGAGGAACTGGAGGTGACAGATTAAAATGAGATCAGTTCTGCAGTTGTGGGAAACTTCTTCCATTCTGTGTCATAACAGCAGGTAAGCAGGGGCAGTCTGAAGGGAGTGATAGTGTGTTAGTACCAACTGAGCCGACACAATAATTAATATTCTGTCACCGTGTGACAAACACAGCAGAGCCCCTCCAGCTTCAGGCTGTCACGGGAAGTATTTGTGAAAGAACTGCTCTATGTGCACCTTTGTGCAGTTCATGTACTCAGTCGCCTTCTTATTCTGCAGAAACCTACAAAAACTCCAAATGCAAGGAGCATACAGTGCATACAACTCCACAACTGTGCACAAACAAAAAAATGTGAAGAACTTAAGTCCATAATTGCTGACCTGATGAACACAGACATTGCACTTGTCACAGAAAACCATCTCGTTGCCGTCCTCTCCCTCCGGTGAGCGGCAGACGTCGCAGACCACGTCCTCATCGTACTCGATGCCCAGGCCTTCCTCTGTCTCGATGGCCTGCTGCATCTTCTCCTGGCACACACTCTCCAGCTCCACCAGAACGCACTCCATGGTGAGCTCATCGAGCTCCGGTAAGCCTGGCGGTGAGAAAACAAAGTAAAAAACAAAAAAGATTAGTTTGCATTTGTCGTACAGACGAAAACTGAACCAGACAGAAACTAATCATCCATCTCTTGTGAGGCAGGGAATTCTTGGTGATTAGAGGATTATATTTTGTCTGGTGCTAAGTTGTTTTTTGTTTTACACATATTGTTTTCTTTGAAAGCTTGAAGACTCAAGCACGGCCTCTGGGAGAATGGATGAGTATTTAAGAAAATACTAAGCCTGTACAAAACAATTAAAGCTAAGAGTAGAGTTCCAAGGTCAACGCTCACTGGTTTCTTTGAGTTCCTTTTATCGACAAGGATAACAGAAACGAGAAGCTGCTCATATGAAGTTCAAAACAAGCAAGCCAATTTACAGATTTCAAGTTATTTTGGGCCTAAACGCTTTGCATAACACTAATTTGAAACACACACAGCCTTCATTTGTGTGTTTATCTCACAAGGTCACTTTCTGTTTCTTCAGGGCGGCTCAGGGCGAAGCGTGCTGAAAATTAGCCGAGAGAGTGTCAGCTGGAGTCGACTGCTAACCAGAGTAAGAAGAGAAATATCACATGTGCTCTGCAGGCCCATTAGCTACCAAAGCCAAAATTTGAAGAAAAGCAACCAAAAAATAAATTAAAAAGTGCCATTAAGCCTTTGTTGCCCTCAGCTTAGCTCACTGTGCCAAAATGTGGCGACATTAGCATCAGTATCCCTGCTCCATTTGCATCTCAAAGTAATGCCTTGCTCTAAGGCTGGTTAATTGTTGATGAAGACTGATCTAACTGGCAAACGCAAGCCTTCTTCCTCATGAAAAATAAAACGTTTAAGATACCAGGAAAGCAAACAGTCTGGTTTCCAGGATCGTGGCGAACAGATGCAGAATATTATTATCTCATTACCTGCGATAAGATTACAGTGATTATACAAAATGGGTAACAGGAAGGCATTAAATCTAGTGTGAAAATATTTTTTGGTTTTGTTTTTTTTTTTCCCCTGAAATGCAAATGATTATTTCGATAACAGTTTAAAAACCATACAAAAATATTCTAAACGACACACCAGTGTGAATGCTGGCTGTACATGATGTTCACACAGATTAAATCACAGACTGCACATCATTTGGTCATCATTTTAAAGTTATGTGAAACCTTTGCAAACCTAAGATCCAGGGGCCGGGATCGGCCCAACACACACCCCAATGCGCCCCATTTGACATCTTTGGAAAATAGATGGGATGCATGAATTTTGGACTTTCAACAGTGTTAAATAGACTTCACAGTTAGTCCTCCACCACAGCCATTCAAATGAGAGCAGAGTAAAGTAATAGTTAAAAACATTAAATGAAAGAAAAGTTCCTATTTTTTCACTATTTGTTATAGAAATGTTTTTTATAATGTATCCACAGTAAAATACATAAATAAATGAATTCAAAAATTGGATTGGAAATAATGAAATACATCTCTGCAACTTTTCCCCTAATTTTACAGATTTATTTCTTTCCATTTAATGAGTTGTGCTGACTGATGTCTTTCAATAACTACAGCAGAATTTCTCTACCATCTTTTTCTTAAATATTGAGATTCTCACTTAAGATCAAAGTGGGTTGTGTGTGGCCCACGATGTAAAACGAGTCTGGCATCGCTGCTTTAGAGTAAAGACTGATACGCACGGAGAGAGTTGTGAAAAAACGAGAGAAACTTTTGAGTTGTTCAGATGCAAACTTGTCGTGGAAATCAACATCGAGCGATGATGATCTGATGCTCATGTTTCTAAGCAAGAAAAGGAAGAATCGGGGATTCTGGTTTCATCCAATTCTAACGAGAAAGCTGCAGCAGCGAGAATTTCATGGTTTGAGCCTCAGGTTGAAGCTGTATCACGACAGCTTTCGTACGTATTTCAGGATGTCAGTGGGGCAGTTTGAGCTCCTGTAGGAGAGATGTAAAATTCGAGCTTGTTCCAAAAAAAACAAATAGCACAAATTTGTCCATCTAAAGTACGCGGTACGCCCTTCAGATGATTCCTGATTAATACAGCTAATCAGAGGCCAGTGTCTTTAGAGTCCTGCATGCAGCAATCAAAATAAAACTTTATCAAGTCTGTAGCTCTGCATTGTTTTTTGACTCATTTGTAGGATTTTGCACTCAGTTGGGAGGTTTTTATAACTGGAGTGGGTCAATTTGTGGATCTTATTTATGTCATTCATTCTCTTCCAATCAAATAATAATATTAACTAAGCAGCAGCATGATTTACTGCTCAGGATCTTTTTGCCAACAGGGTGAGCTGCTGTTTAACCTACCATACCCCTGCAATGTACTGAAAACAACATCGACTTTATTATGATAGCCAACGTCTGCTGCTGAGGCAGAAAACACGTGGATTGGGCCTCGAGCTGGAACATCGACATGAACAAAGAAAGAACAAGAAGAAGAACACACGTGATTGTTGTCGTGGATTCAGAAGCTGCTTCTAAAGCCGCTGAAAAGGGGAAGCGGAGTTAGATATTAACCTGCCGTGACATTTACATCATGAACTAAACACACATACCTAAGACCGCATTATCTGTTGTCTCTGTGTTTGCATGTGGCAGCTGTGAGCACATGCAGGGATTCATTCATTTTTTTGTATGTGCAGTATTTGTGTGTGTGCTTAAAAGTAAAACGGAAATTAACACAAACACACACAAAAAAACCAACTTCCTTTTCTTCATGCTTTGATTCTTCTAGTCTGCCTGACTGCTTTGGCTTTCAAACTTTCATGTACACTGTGCCTTAATGCACTTCTCTAATTGTATTTCTATTAATCTACTCAATGCAGCGTAATGCTAAACACTCTGATCTTACAGTAACCCAGAGTTACTCATCCTTATAATCAGAATTCATGTGTATTTAGCTGCTGTATTGACCCAGTTTTCTCCAAGAAGACACATTTTCCTACAGCAAAACACAGCTGCCAACAAATATTGTAAACACGTATGATATCATTGAATGTTTAAAAAAAATTATATTTGATTTTGTGGGGGGAAAAAACAAAAAGCACAAGCCACAAGCTGGCTGTGTCCCAGCGGCACAAAGCTGGATTTTCACAAGAAAAGTTGTTAGGCTCCAGGTTATCCGCTTGTAATACCACATGTACTGTGTGGCAAAGTCAGCACAGGCTGGTGCATCTCGTGCAGCTTCATACTTAAGATACGCTGCTGTTTGTGCAAACCGAGCAAAGGATAGGGAACAAGAGACAGAGAAGGAGAACGAAATGAACGATTTAGCCTAGTGTGATTAGGAAACATAACTGAAAACTATCAATTAAATTCAATTTTATTTATATGGTGCCAATTCACAGTTGCTTCAAGGATCTTTAGATTGTAAGGTAACGACCATACAAGAAAGAAAACCCCACCCATCAGATAAGCCCCTATGAGCAAGCACTTGGCAACAGTGGGGAAGAAGAACTCCCTTTTAACAGGAAGAACCTTTCGGCAGAACCGAGCCCAGGGAGGGGCGGGGCCACATTCCATGACAGGTTGGTGCATCTGATCAATCGCATTGCTGTGATGCCATATTTTTTACGATGTGGTTAAAACCCACCCTTGTTTATTCTGGAAATAATAATTAAAAAGTGTCCGGGGTTAAGGAGTAATTGTGTTTCCAGGTAGCAAAACTGTGGCATCGCAACAATGTGACTGGTCACTTGGACTGTTGATCCTGGATTTACATCAAGGGGCAATCGTGGCTCAAGAGTTGGGAGTTCGCCTTGTAATAGGAAGGTTTCCGGTTCGAGCTCCGGCTTGGACAGTCTCGGTCGTTGTGTCCTTGGGCAAGACACTTCACCTACCGCCTACTGGTGTTGGCCAGAAGGGCCGATGGCGCAATATGATGCGCCTGATTCAGGATCACCTCATCCAGCAGTGATTATAAGTTTAAGAAAAAAAAGTAAAGTTTTAAGCCTAATTTGAAATTAGAGATCGTGTTTGTGTTCTGAACCCAAACTGGTGCTGGAAACTGAAGGGTGTGCTACATGAATGATTGAATGATTAAGAAAGTGCTCTACTGGGATAATCTGGTACCAAGAGGTACCATGTGACGGAGTCTGATTATACAAGTCTTTGTATGTAGAGGGAAGGATTTTATATTCAATTCTTGATTTAACATGGAGCCAAAGAAGAGAAGCTAATATTGTAGAATCAGCTACCAGCTGAAAGCAAACAGTGTTAGGGCTTAACATTTACCAAGTTTCTTTGCTTTGTTACTCTTCTTTAGTAGTTTTTAGTAGTTTGTGTGCTTAGTGGGAAGTTATGCAGTGGTACATTGTGCAACCTGAGCCTGCAGGAGTTCAATTTGGGCCTTGAATAATTCAGTAACAGTGTGTGGTGTCTGAATTGGCCGTACCCGTCCAGGTCTTTAAATGTATATTTGAGACTTTTTGCCAATTTTGACAACCCTAAAGCTGAATAATGCAACACCATCGAACAAAAGTCCTGAAATAATCAGCAATTGCAGCATGTCCAGGATCAACATTTGGTCTCCAAGAGCATATTGTGAACACAAACAAAAATACACAGATAAATCTAAATAGGATGTGCAGCACTGAGACAGAAAACGCTGAATAATCCCATCATGATTCGGCAGCCTCACCCAGCAGAACAAATCAGCAGTCTGTTTGTTTTGTTTAGCGTTGAAGGTTATGAGAAGCTTCTGCCAGTACGCGTGTGTATGCACACGCACGTCCGAGTTTGATTTAAAGTGAATGTGCAGCAGAAATAAAGCCTGAAACCCCAGCGGGGATTTATAGACACAATTACTATGCTTTATCTGAAAGGAGCCAATCAGATATTGAGTAAAGTGGCGGAGATGAGAGAGATGCTCGGGGTCAGCAGTTGTCACCATGGCAAAATGGGGGATGTAGAAAAGCAGAGAGGAGAGTGTCAGGAAAAAAGGAAGCGAAAGGGAAGGAATAATGAGAATGGGAAAAAAAAGAAAGAAAAGAGGCCACACAGCAACACTACAACATATTCACAGCATCTGCAAGTTTCAGAAAACCTCATTTTAAGGCTTTTTCTGTATTTTTTTTAATAGAGTGATTTTTCAATTTAAAAAAGAAAGGAGAGGAAAGGCTGGTGTTTGCTGGAACATATAAGATAAAGGTTCTGAGACTATAAATGGGTGGTAATGGAAAAGAAAAAACACAGACCTACCTGTGAAATGAAAAGAAAATGCTAAGGCACCTCTTTAGCTGATTAATTCTTTACTTAAAAACACCAGCTGCCAGTCTCATTCCTCAGGAGAGCTTTCCATATGAACTGAATGTAGTAATAAATCAACAAAAATAATTAAGTAATAATATCTCTTTAAAACAAACTAAAGAGTCGCTCCCATGCTTTCCTGTCAAGCTTATAAAACCCTGGGCAGAATCTCTGATATTTAGCTTCAGCCCTACAGGGGGAATGAAATTCACACACTACCCAGCTAACAACTCCCATGAAGTGAAAACACATCATTTATGACACATCGGGGTGAGTCACTTCATAGAGGTCAACACTCAGACGAAAAACAAGTCAAAACACATCATTTCCAGCGCTTCATCCTTTACAACCGTGTTTACAGCCTTTGGAAAGTCTTCTGACGCTACGCAAGCGGAGTGGAACGGCCCTACATTTACACAGGTTAAGTGAGATTTTCCTCAGTGTTTTCAGGCTATTATTATCAATAATGCAGTGCTTACCCATCTGTCTGAACTCTTGGTTGACTATGTGTAGCCAGGCAACATCCAGGTCATCCAGGTCATAGCAGCTGTAGAGCTGGGTGGGAGGAGGCCGAGTATCACCTTCCCTCTCCTGCCCGTTGTTGGACAGACCACCTGTCGACTCCGGCAGCGACCTGCAACCAAAACGAAGATGCATGCAGAGAGTTTTATTTGTGCGGCCTGGAAGCAACAATAACTCTAGTATCCAAGAATATCCTCTGAAGCAAATGTCACATGTTGTGTCGATGTCACTGGTTGTCACACAGAATCGGATAACTGCCAAAATTCAAGTTTGGTTTGTTATCCATGCGCTATCCTCTACTCTCTTTTAGTGTTACACTGTATTCGGCGACTTTGAAGTCCTTGTGAAATTCACAGATCTGTGAATTTTTTTTAAAACTCCATGTGCTCTGTGAGGAAAGTGGCTCATTATACCAACATGAATTACGAGGAAGTCCTTACAGACAGGTCCTGACCTCATTGTCCACAAGTACTGAATCACAGTATGACGGATTAAAAAAAAACAAAGACCCAAAAGACCCAGTGACAAATCAAGCAGTTGTGGCCAGCAGTGACACAACGCTCCTCCAGGCACTGTCTAGTCTCTGGAGCCTGGGGACCAAATGTCTGTCTGTCAACAACAGCAGGAAATGGGGTCAGGAACTCTGCTCAACCCACTGGGAACCAATAAAGACTAATAAACACACGCAGGCCCACATAAAGCATTGGGACGCTGCAAGAACTAACAAACACACGAAAAGGCACAAAATAAATCGCATACGCGCCATCACGAAGGCAGCGACCACACCCGAATAATAGGCGAAAAAAACAAGACAGCATTTACAGTAGATCACACACACGCACACCACGATTTCTCCAAAACATCTCTGTGTTTAGCATAGTAACAAACACACACCCTTTTATTCACTCGCTTGCCACTGAAGTCGAGACCTTTGCGTGAAAAGGTGAAGTGCGTCACGATCACAGCAACAAACAACAAACAACCTTTAGCTCTCGGTGTTGCTCCCGGCCTTCAACGGCTCATTATCGCACCGCTTACTTATTACCAGCCTCCTCCATTACTACTGTCACATCAAACAGCGCTGAGATCATCTTCCTCATCTTCGTCATTATCATTATCCTCCTCATTATCACCGCCACCACTGGTGCCGTCGTGATCACAAAACAGCTGCCACAATTTAAATCCGCTGTCTTCACCAGAATCACGTTTCACGGGAGTTGCCAGCTCAGTTAAACGTGAAAATAACACAAACCGACGATGTAAAAGCAAAAAAGCTTTTAAGATAAATGTCATGAACAGACCAGAATAAGTTTTTAATCTGGTGTATACAGTCATCTCATCCAATGAGCTTTCTGCAATAAAAGGCTCGACTCAACTGGTTGCTTTCTGGTTGTATTATTATACAGAAGCAAGGTTGCTGAGCAACTATGTCATTTTCCAGTTAAGTCGGCATCCTGCAGCAACTAAGTCACTATTTGTGGAGGAATTTCTGGATTAGTGTTCAAAACTGTGATGTTCTGACTCTGAACGTAAGCAGTTTATGTGCGTTTCTGTTACATTCCTATAGCTGTGTATGTAGAAAGTAACAGATTAGCAATTTCTGACACTTAATCTGAGTTATCACTGTCTTATTGCCGTTTTATCACAGTCTTGATCATCTTTTATCACCAAAGCTCCTTAGAAGACTCCAACTGACTGCAGGATGGGGAGCACCGTCCTGGTCCCCATCTTCAAGGCAACTATTTCAAAAGCAACAAGACTGCAATAATTTTGTTTTCCCTAGTCTCAATATATACTGTCTACACAACATTTACCCCAACTTTCTTGTAACACAGGTCTAATCTGTTTTTGAGTCATCCAAGTCAAAGTAGCCCAGAACACAGCACAGTCATTGTTAACTTGTGTGTAGGGATGGGTACCGGTGTCCGGTGCCATCTGACATAAACGGTAGTAACCAGACCGAAAAGCAGCGCACATTTCGGTGCTTTATTTCGGTGCTTTTTTTTCCTGAGCTGTGATACACTTCTAGCCAATCATTTTACGTTTCCGAGGATAGTAGGCGGGGCCAGGTACGTACGTTCAGTTAGAGCAGAGCTACAGATTAAAAATGTCCAAGGCGAAGCGGTCAAAAGTCTGGCTGTACTTCACAGCAAAATATGCAAACTCAGCAGCAACAAGTGCTTTAAGCTGATACTGTGATACTGTCAAAGGAGGTAACACCAAGAATCCGATTAAACAGCTGGCGACGCATAGCGTTTTTTTTAAAAGCCGAGAAATGCGCCGTATTTGATAGCTTGCTGCGAGACCTCACACCGTGCACGTCGGGTGGATTGCCAGTTATCGGACCCGGAGCAACATCCTCCAAAAACCCGAAGAATAGAGTCCTGGCCCCTAGCCCTGCCAGTGTAGCAGAAATGATGAGGATGATGATGCAGCAGCAGCCGTTCTTCTCTGCGTGAGTAGCTTCATGTTGTTCGTGTGTAATTTACGTTGAGTAGGCTAACCACGTTATTACATTAATGCATGTAAGGTGAACTAGCAAACATCATCATAGCTACATGCGGCTGTCTTCTTGTTTGATAGCAAATACTCCCTTCACCCTGGCTAAAAAGGCTAAAATGACCAAAGAAAAAGTGGGAAACAGTTAAACATGAGAGGTTTAGGACAAAGTTTGTGTTTTTTCCATTGTTTAAGCACTGCTTCCAGTCAAGAGTGATACCATATATGCCCCATAGCTGCAGAAAAGGCTAACATTGTTACCTTTTTACAAAAAAAACCAGCTGAACATGAGAGGTTTTTGGACAAAGTTTGTGTTCTCCATTCTTTAAGCACCGGTTCGAGCACCGTTTAAGCACCGGCACCGTTTCAAAAGTACCGATTTGGCACCGGTATCGGATAAAACCTAAACGATACCCATCCCTACTTGTGTGTACTCTGATTATTATTATTAGTATTTCAAAACCAGAATTTTAGCAGTACAGAGAAGCAGCATTGAAACAGCTGCTGGTTAACATGTTGTCTTTAATTTCTGTTTGGCATGTTTAGATCAGAACAGCAGAACGAGATCCATCGTTATTTGGAATTTGACTTTATTAAAAAGTCATTCTTTACTTTATTTATTATCTTTTCAGACCAGTTCTACTTTTTCTGCATAATCCATCATATAAAATTTAATCAAATAAAAAAGTCTCATTTTGAAACTTGTTTTATTAGTTTTAATCTTTTAACTTTATGCGTGTTGCTTCCCACGCAGAGTGAACAGCAGACACTAATGGTTTTGTCACTTTTTACAGAATCAAACTCAAAGTGATGTCAGTAATTACAAGCTTTAAACGCTACATGGTTGCACGCTGTCCCACACGCCATACTATCCATTGTTGATCTACACGGACGCCGCACGCTCGTACGTCATTGTCGTCATTGTCATGAGACACTCTCACAAACAAAATCACGGTTTAGTAACGCAGTACCGCTGCATGCTTAGTGGAAAGTGACGGTAATCTAATTAATCCCCTTGCTTTACTCGTTACTTGAAAAAAGTAATGGAATTACATTCAGTGGAAAGGAGTTACATACTTTCCACTGAAAGTCAGTAACATTCTTGCAGCTGTGGTTCACTGATCTCCCTCCATCATCCAAGTATCAGGTAGAAAGCAAAGCTGAATTCGAATATATTTATATACGAAGACAAAACAGCAGGAAATCAGACCCTGTTTTGGCCTGCTTTCAGGCTGATATCTGACACTGGACAAACAGGCCTGGCCAGTTAAGTGGCAAAGGGGAGAAAAGAGATGCACAAACACACACAGAGGGAGAATAGGTTCCATAATGGGGACTCTGGGCTGGCTGTTTCCGTTATGTAACTTTAAAAGCAACAAGTGTCTTATTACAATGGAGGCTGGTGTTGTTTCATTATTAAAGGATAAGGCTGGTGTCATTCTATAGACACTTGGCTTTAACAGCAAATGCTGTAAGAAAAGGCCCAGAACCAAAATTGTGTTAATTCACTACTCCTTACTCCTCCCCGTTTCCCACTGGATCCTACTGAAAACATAAATCCTTTAAAATGATTCCTACATATAGCACATGGGTAATTTTTATTTTAAGCAGGAGAAAATCCTTCCTTTGATGGGAAGTATTTCTCTGCAGATAGCACAGGCGATTCTGGTTAATAGGATGAACAGTACTAAGAAATTTTTTCAGTATAATCCAGCAAAAACTGAATACCCAGTCCATAATGTAATAACCCATCAGCGGTGTAATATGCTGGGATGTTATCAGCCCAGTGCTATTGGATTTTATGATACTCTTCATGTTGTTTATTTTAATATGGACTTTATTACATTTTGTTTTATGACTGGAATGGTGTTTGTTTGGCTTCTAGTGAAACATGAAAATGATAAAAGAACAAAAACAGAGATGAAAATTCAAAATTTTCACACCAGTTATATCCGTAAAATAGCTGAAAAGTTAGATGTCAATCGCCCGGCCGGTACCAACATCAATCTGTGAAAATAGATTGATTTTTTGCATTAATCAGTCCAGAAAGAGCTAGAACAAACATACAAGAGACATACTGATTCATCTTGTAAAGTAGTTAGCATTTTAGGAACCATTTCCCAATTCATTTTACTCTCTTAGCGATATACTCTGGCTTAGATGTATGTTAAATGAGATGGAAAAAAACAACACGAAGGGAAAAGATTACCTCACAATAACATCCAGTCATTCCACGTGATGCTTATCAGGAGTAAATGTGTTCCTCCTTTGATAAGTATCGTGTATCCTACAATCACATGGACATCATTCATGCACACTCACTCAGTTACACAACGTAGGTAAACAAAAGTAGGTGCACAACTTCTCCCTTTGTCCAGGTTTTATCAAATCAGGGGAGGTGGAGATAAAATGCACAGTCATCCGTCAATACTGAAGACAATTATAGTTTCCAGGAAAGCTGTAAATAGATTTTCTGCCCTTTTATGGTTAAGTGCAAACTGGAGAAAAATTTTTTTTAAAATATTAGATTTATTTCAAAGTCACAAAGGCTGGCTCATCAAATTTCAACAACGGTACTACCTTTTTATAGCTTTGTTAACATGAAGTGAGGCG